TGTCCCAAGGGGAAATGTCTGCCTCCTGGCTGTCTTCTTCCTGTTTGCCTGTAGCTCTGGATATAATGCAGTCTGGGGCCTTCTGTGGTGTTCTTCATTCGTTTTTCGTGAGGTAATCATCGTCATAAATGTACATTGTTGTTCTGTGATACTGTTTAGGAAGTAACCATAAGGAGAAAAGTCTGTGTGGTCAGTACAAATAAAATTGTTCTCAAATTATTATTCGTTTAAATCCAAAGTGGGTTGAATCTGTGGATGCTGAGATCCAACTATATATGCAGATCAGAACAGTGTATTGGAAAGCTGGGTGTGGTGGGGCATGCCTTTAATCACCACAGTGGGAAGGCAAAAGCAGGCAGATCTCTACGAATTCAAGGCTAGTCTGGTCTACATAGTGAGTTCCAGGTCAGTCAGGTCACACAGTGAGAACCTGTCCTAAACAAACAAAAAGCTCACCCCAGAAATCCTCACATTGTATTTCAAAAGTATGTTCAACTATGTAGGTCAATCGCAGAGTAAAATATTCTTACTGAAATGAGTAACTGTAATTAAAACTGTAACGCACTAGAAGAATCTACTGTAACAGAAGGCAGAGGCTACCTTTGCTGCTGTATTTAGTCCCTTCAGGAACATTCCTTTTCCTCCCCTCCACAGGCCATGAGTCATGTAGGTAAAGCCACACTGGTTAGTGGACCGGAAGCCACAGGTCTCTAAGGGTGCATCTGAGAGTTAGAAAGGAAGGGAAATAATTCACCCTGAGGGGAAGATTCATCCAGCCTAGGATCAGATTTCTCTAGCTATCCCTAACTTGTCCTCATCAGAATCTCAAGAAAGGATTACACTGAGCTATGCTTTGTAATGTTCTTAGTGTAACATTTCGGGGGCCCAACATTATACACACAGAAAACAGCCACACTGACACTGTGAGCTGACTTTGAGAACAGCTGCCAGGTCAGGCACAGGGACACTGCCAGCAGCCCCCAAATTGCCTCAGTACCCATTTCTAGCATCTACCCACAACCCCAAGCAGCGGGTCTTCTGGCCTCTCCCAGCAAAGATAGCTTTATTTGGTTTCGAATCTTATCTAAGTGGAATCTGGTAGCCAAGACTCTCTGCCTCTGTGTGAGAACCCTCTATGGGAGCCTCTCCCCTTCTGAAGACAGCAGCAGCTTGCCACCGCCCAGCTCCACCCACCACTAAACCCCCTTCAGGCTTCCTAACCTCAGGGAGCCACAGGTCCTTCTCAAATTACTGCCCTGAAGGCAACAGACATTCAAATCTATGTTGGTTCTGAGGCCCAATCCTGGAGCCTTTCACTAGCCTTACACGTCTTGTCCAGGTTCACCCCTGCATTGTCTAGGACTTTTTAAAATCGGCCATAAAACAATGACCACCTCTCTCCACCAAGGCTTTCCCTCTCCATGTCACCTTTCTGTTTCCCTTCCTCTGAAAAGCACACCAGTCATTGGATTCAGATTGCACTCACCCAGGACAATCTGTCTCCAGGTTCTTTTCCTTTGTGTTTTCACTCCCTTCTTGGGTAAGAAATCCCCCTGGAATTTCTAGCCATTGTCTCTGCCGGGGGTACTGATGACAGGACACCAATGTTTTTGGTGAGTTATCTGTTTCACAGCTGTTCCAATCTTTTTTTTCTGATTAAAATCTTTTCGTAAATATATTTTGATCATGGTCCAGCCTCAGCTCTTTTCCCAGGTACAACTAAGAACCACTGCCCCCTCCTCTCAACTTCAACCTCTCCAACATCAGTGTGTCCGCCCTGGTTCTTCCCTGAGAAGTGCTATGAATGGGTACCCAGGGAAATCCCGAGGAAGACCCAAACACCCTCCAATGACCACAGGTTACAATAAGCACCCCTAAGGTTTTCCAGCGTCTTTTATGTCTCTTCCCTGCCCCCATCCCACAGGAGAGAAGATCACCTTTTAAATGATGGCTTAGTTTATGCAAATACACTGCTGTTCCCAAAGGAAGCAAGCATCCCTGTGCCTATGGTTACGAAAACACCATGCAGTTTTTGAGAGCCAAGACCCAAATATCCCTTCTCGGTGGAGTGCATCTGAATGTGATTATCTAAATTCTAATGGCTTTGGTAATGTTATGTTTTCTATTTCCTCCGGTAGTGGGGAGGGGTCGTTAACTGCTTAATCTAGAAAGTGGAAGCTGTGGGCATTGTGCTATGAGGTGTTGGAAAATAACCCCGTGATCAGGTCCAGGCTGAGCCGCAATGGGTGGAGTAAGGGAAGTGGAAGGGATCAGGTTGAAACCAGCATGGTAGGAAGACTGAAGAAGAAAAGCACTGGGTGAGGGGTCCTGATTAAGGAGGGTCGTTCCCAGGGCACTGGGACTTGGGAGTCCCCAGCTCCAGACAGCTCTCCTTTACCCAGAGCAGCCTTTTTACTCCGGAGGTGGCAAATGCATCCTGCCTCCATCATCGGGTCTGTCTCAGGCCCTTTCGCAAGCACCATAACTGGGCTGGGTAAAAGGAACCCTTTACGGGTTTGCGATGAACAGCCCACCTTCGCCGGTATTCTGGCTGCTGCGGGG